CTAGAACTCTTAAAAGATCTTTTTTAAGGCTACCATATAGAAACAATGCCTACACATCACTGCATGACTTCTGTAACAGCAACTGTCAGTAACGGGGATGGTAATCAATAGGAAAGAAATACTCAGTGTTTAATGTGTCTGGAGGAAAAATAAAGAAAACATAATGTGGCAAAACTATGAAAACTACTCTCCAAATATTTTGGTTGGCCAAGGTCAGTGCCCTAATTTTGGGTAGTTAGCAGGTTTACCCAGATTTGAAGAAAGGCATGAACTGCCAGCACTGAGGATGTTTGTAACCGTTTCTCGTGAGTCTGTCCCCCAGATGGGACACTTTGGGAAATGATATCGAGGAGGTCCTTCCCTTTTCCAGTGTGTCAGCAGGTGTGGGTTGGAGGTAGTTACCGAGTTTCCTGCTGATAACCAGCTTGGGTTGGGCTGGACCTTAAAGATCTCCTATTCCAACCCACTGCCATGGGCGGGGATGCCAACCACCACATCAGCTGGGTGGCATAAGAGGTGTTTTGTTTCAGAAATATGTTCCGTGCTGTTATACATCTGAAAGTGCAATAACTTCTGGTTTACATCTGGATGCAGCTGTAATTATTGGCTTGGCCATTGGTTAAGGATCTCATTGTTGCCTCTCATCTTCTTCCTTCTGTAACTGCAAAGATGAACCAGCCGTTCAGTGAGGTGAAGCCATCACGAATCAAGGAGGATTTTGTTATTTGAGGGTTTCTGCTTTGAAGTCATGTTCTTGGTCTCTTTGCCAGAGTCTTAAATCCATTTTATTTAAGGGCACAATAAGAAGTGCCTTCTATTCAGTTTGTCCTCTATCCCCTTTCTTTCGGATTTTCTGTTTAAACATAAATACTGGTAGTGTTAGAGCGTTGTTCCTCTATTAAATAAACAGAGAAGCATGAAGAAAAACAAGCAGGGAGAAGGAGTCCCCTTAATAAAGATATGAAGGAGAGCACATGTCAGTGGCTGGGGGGGCAGCTCAGCCCTCCTCAACTTCTCCCCCCGTCCCTCCCACAAACAAAACAAAACCAACAAAAAGGAGAGTGAGAAAGGAGGAGAAAACAAAGATCTGTTAAGGGCTTTTGAAAGAAGCTGCCATTCCTTAGCTGACATTTTCATGCTTGTTTAGGAACAACTTTGTCAAGAGAGAGGAAACTTTAAGGTAAATGCAGGGACACTTGAAAATATGCTGTCATCTGAGATTGAAACATAATGTGACAACCAGTAGCCTGCTGCCTTAGGAGGAAGCTGAATGCTTCCACCGAGGAGATGCAGTGCCTCAAAACCCAGTACTTAAACACGGAAAATGCAGTGTTCACAATTTATTCTCAGAAGAGCCACATATATGTGTACAAAACCCTGCCTGGTAAGAGAGAGAAACAGCTCTTACAGAAGGCTGGAGTCTTGTTCATTAGGATGCAATAGTGCTGGAAAAAAAACCTGTCAGCGTGCCAGAAATATTTCAGAGGAGAACTGCTACAATGGTCTGTTCTTCGCTAATCAGGAGATAGAAGGGATGAATATCCTCCTCTCAATAAATCCGTGATACATTTGATGAGGAATTAGTCTAGTTTCTACAAACTTAACTTATGCTGGTCTTATAACCATGGAGGTACTGAAATGCATAATGCCTGGCACTGCCAAAGCTGATGAATGATTTACAAGTATCTTTCATTAATTTCTATCTTGCAGCTTGAATTGAAAAATACTGGCTTTTTCACTGTTCCTCAGGATGGGAAAATCATCCTGTTGCTCACAAAAAAATCCCCACATTTTGAACAAAATCATAAATAAATCTTAACAACTCTACTGTTGTCTATTTCAGCTTGTTAAGCTCAGCAAATGCCTGAGACAGAATACAGTTGCATAGTCCAAAAGTATGCCTGATATAACTTGACATGTCTTAATATAAAAAGAATTTGTATTTCACCAGCCTATGTTTTCCCCACCAAATCTTGTCAATGATTTCCCTCAGCAAAACCAAGGTCAGTTTTTTGTTGTGTTTTATTTATTTACTTAGTTATTTATTTTTTAAAGAAAGGCTGGTCCTGCTCTGAGGCAAGCTGAGGCAAATGCATCACAAACAGTTGTATGGTTTACATTTTGGATTCTTGCAGAGCTGTCTTGGAAAGTCTTGTATTCATTTATTACTGTTGTGCCATAATGCTATTTAAACATTATGAAAGAATTGCTTTCTCATGGAAAGAAATCATCTAACATGCACTTTGTTTCACTGACCAAATGATTGCAGGCAACCTCATGGATCATAAAATAATTGGATGCTGTCTAATTAAGTAAGCGTTATTGGTTACAGTGGCTTTTGATTCCCACTTCTGATCCCTCTGTTTTGCCTTAAGACTGCTGTGAAACACCTTTGATAAATGAGTTAAAGATGGCATGCAGACATCTTAAAATAACGGCAGACACTGAAATGACAGTAATAATATTTTTTATGGAAGATGTCTTAAAGAGAACAGGAAACGTATATAAAAAAGGGTGGGGGGATGATAAAAGGGTGATACATAGATAATCCAAACAGATGCACATTAACATGGCTTGTTTAAGCCAGCACCACCCCTTGTCTGTGCTAGAGGCTCCTGACAACTTTCTCTAGCCCTACTTGCCCTCTGCCTTGGGCTTGTCTTCCTTTTTCCCAATTTCTGGCTGCTGCTGACTTCTTTCCTCATTGTCAAGAAATGCATCCTTGACCATTCTCTTTCTTGAACCACTTTCATAGGTTGTATGTCATCGTATGGCTCCGTTACTGACTGCCTTCTGTCCTAATTTGTACAGAATTGCCATGCTAATGGTAATTACCAGAATAACCAGAGTTATTTCAGTCATGTAACTGGGGAGTTTCAGGCAGAGAGCAGACGACTCTGCAGATATACCAGTAACCTAACTCCCACTAAGGTGTCTTTTGAGCAGGCCATGGGAGGGGCAGGAACTCTTGTTCCAAATTTCTCTTCTGCAATTACATCCTGGCTCAGGACCCAATTCTGGTGGACTTTTTCCAAGATCTCAAGAAACCAGTTCTTGGCCAGCCTTCCATATCCAGCCTTCCTGATTTTTCTGTGTAGTTCTTAAGTCTTCTCAACATCCCAGCTTCCCTTGGCACTTGATGTTCATTTTTCCTGACCCCACTTAGCAACTATTTTATTCTTTATTTCTCTTTTCCTATATTTCCTTCTTAATTATTTTGCCACTTCTTTATTTTGTCTGCTTTCTCTCTGGATGATCTTGTCCGGTCGTATAATTTCACCCGCTCTTGTTACATAGCTGGGACGCAGCTCTATTCCTCTGCTTCTCACTGGTCTCCATCCAATCCCATCTGCTTGTTTCTCTCTCTCTGACAATTGCTCCTGGGTATCATGCCATCAGCTTAAACTTAATTGTATGCCTTTCTTTCTCCATCTTCTCCTTGCATGTCATTGTCGACAATGACAATATTGACACCATCATTGTGACTTGCAACCTGAGGCAGGTTTGTTTTTGTTTTCTGAGATTCTGTTTTCTTCTGTTGCAACAGACAAGTCCTGTATAGAAACAATTACAACTAACAAACAAACACAGAAAACTATATAAAACTGGGAGCACGCTGACATGATGTAGAAGAGAACAGTGCTGTCGTACCGCTTAAATTTCAGCAGATTATGCCTGTGGCAACCACAGTCAAAGAGAGAACTGTAAATGTGTTAAGTACGAGGACTTCAGATGCTTTCATTATTTAATTTAAGACTTTGGGAAGGCTAAGTCAAGTGGTTTGATGTTGTGCACAGTGTTATTCTAAATTAAGCAACATGTAATAAAGGAAGAGCAGGTACAAATTTGATTCCAGTAGTTCTTGTCCTTGCTAATTAATTCTGAGCATTGCATTAGAAGGGTTAGGGGATTGCTTGGTTTTGTTTGTTTTGTCTTAGACATGTTTCTTCATTTTATGAACACAAACTATTTTCAGAGTATTTGCCTTCTAAACCGTACTCTTAAATGTACAACTTCAGCCTCGCCAAGCTGGGGTGTGTTTTGATAATAAGAACTGAATTTGTCTTGACATCTTGTTTGGAATATTTCTAATCAAATATTAACATTAGCACTGCCACATGTCTCTGTTATTTCCTTTATCTTTTCACTCAGTCCCACAAGCCTTCTCTAGATAAGAATAACACTAATGCATTACTTAAGAGTTCTTTTACTGGAAAGCCTAAATAATATAGAGCCCAGAATGAGTAGCAGCTATGGATTTCTGCAGAAGAAGCATGTTTAAAATTCTCCCAAAAGAGACCCAGTGGAGACTGACTTCATTCTTTGGCTTACGTATCTGTGTGTCAGTAATGATACGGGAAGGGCTCAGCAGTGACAAATAACTTTAATAGATATGGAAAAATCACTGTTTTATTGGGATTATGTGACAAAATTGAAAGTAAAACAGAATGTTTGATGTTGTTATAAATCTTCAATGAACGTTCCATGTTTTTGTGATGTGTCAAAGATAGGCAAATGCAAGCCTTTGCTTACACTAATAGGGAAGCAGAGATGGGTTTTGCATTTTAAATGTGGTCAAAAAGGAGAAGAATAAGGGTTAAGTGGTACTGTAAATTTGTCTTGCGTGCATAGAGACAGCCTTGACTTGGCTACAGTATGGATGGAGGGAGGTGAGGATGGCGAGGCTGTACAGCTAGCTGGGAGCCTCTCCTTGTTGCTGGTGCCCAAGGCGTGTATGATGCCCAGCACCAAGAGAACAGGAAGGCTGCCTGCCTTTCCCTTCATTATTCCCCTTGCCTCCACTGAGAAGTCTGTGCGTGAGATATGTGAGTTAAACGTCTTTCGTGTCCTTAAGTTCTCCCTTCGTCCGTGTTTGAATCAATGTGTTATACTTAATTATTTACCGTTTGAATGCCTGTGTTTGAAGTGCACAGCCCTGAGTCTGCTTTTTGTAAGAGACTGCTGAAACCACACCGGATCCCATTTTCTCTCTTCCGCAGTACCAGTGGTCAGATGGTCTGTCGCATCTTGTAGGCTTAACAGTTTTGCTGATAAATCTAACTCGATGCTAATGGATGTGCTGTAATACAATATGGAACAGAAGCTAGGACCCCGTGGCCTGTCATGGACCATGTAATTTATGACTGAAACATCTCAGATATTTATGCTGACAAGAGAAATACTTGATATTTCCTGCTAATGTGCTAGCCCACTCTTCTGATTCTAGATGATTTTTTGGCCTATTTTATTCCATCTCCTTTACCACTCCTGCCATCTACTCTGTCACTCAGAGCTGCCAGGGCTCTTTTGCTTCTGCTGCCCCATTTATTTTAACAGAGAGAGCAACTGGATGACTGCAATGGTTTGCCTAGAAATAAAATAGATTCTCTCATCAGTTAAAGCCAACACTGGTATCCTTCTAAAAGTAATGATATGTTCCAACTTCACATGACTGGGCACAATTTAGAAATCAGAGTGAAATTCTCTGGCCAACATAATGTAGGAAACTGGACTGGAGAACAGACAGTCCCTGGAGCCCCCAAAATCTATGAAAACATGTCAATCTTTTCTTCAGATGTAGTCACTTTTGCTCTCCGAATCTGGCATTGGAACTTGCATTTCTTCAATTTGCATTAATCCTAAGAAGCCTCTGTAAAAATATTGATTTGCAATTTCTTTTCCATATAGACTGTAAATATTTTTTTTTTCCCTCTCTCATTTCTGATGCCTTCTTGTGTGGTTCCAGCAATGTATAGATGGAGTGGCTTGGATTGGTAAAGCAGCAGTTTTCACTTGATTTCCATTTTATTATTTGAAAGAGTAGCCAATAATTTGGCACATTTTTTTTTTTTTTTTAAAAGAAAATATGACATTAATTTCACCTTTTTAACACATTGTTCTAAGAATGAAAGAAACCTAATGTAACAATAGGGATAGGCAAGCATTGCACAATATTTGATAGTCTTTTCTGTGTTAAATTCTGCTTTTCTTTTAAAATAAGACAAGGACCACACTGTGTTAAAGTATGGTTGTGCAGGAACGTTAATCTTCTTTTCTTTTAAATTGTGTGTTACTAATGTCTCCCAAATTTTTGCTTGCTTTTTGCTTGTATTCATCAATGTTTTAATGGTTTCATAAAGTACAAATCCTCACTGCATTTTAACCATCAGTCATGTGTACAAAAATCCTTTAATTTTACCCTGCATAGACACTGAAATAAAGAGGAAATTACATATTTAAAAATAAAATAGGACAACAGAATTCAAAATTGCATCAGCCTCAATTTGTTTATATGAGCATGAAAGGGAAGAGGGGGAGACTTATCCGTTGGGACTGTAAATGGCACCTCCTGCTGCGGTATTAAATTCACCATTTGCAACCTCCTGTGCTTCTCTGAGTGTAGAGGGTGGCGCCTGACTTCTTGGCGCCAGAGAGTCAGCAAAGGTGTCTAATAGATGCAGACACAGAGATGAGGGCTGCTTACTTAACCTTGCCCCAGCTCAGCCCCACTGGGGACAGCCAGCTGATCCCCCCCAGCCTCGCTCAGGAGAGCGAGGAGGCTCCAGAAGCAGTTTATGGCTTTAATAATTTACATATCCTCCGTTAATCTCCCTTACAAGCAAGCAATTAGTTGGGGAATATTCATACTGCCTTGATATATATTTTTTATATACTGATCAATTAGTGGGAAAGTAATGAGGTCATAGACTAGCAGGTGTGACTATTAATCTTTGCTCTTGAGAAAAATACTTTTGTATTTCTTGGTAAAAAGAAACAACAGATTTATTTATTTATTTACTTATTTTTGTGTTTTCCGATACTGTTTAGCATTTCCTAAAAACACTTTAAGCCAGATACTCGATACCGAGTTTGATCATCAAGACTCTCACCACACAAGCGTGTGTTTAAGAGGCTTGAAGCAGGATTGCTCATGTGAGTAAACTTATTCAGACACATAAATCTTTGCAGGACTGGGTTCCTTAGTGATTTAGGATGAAGTACCATTGGAAAAAAAAAATGTTTATTCTGTTGCACCTGCATGATGCAGCAGATATTGTGAGAGCACCATTAGCTACTTAACGTACCAACTAATGACTGGCAGGCTTAAACGAGTGTAGCTGAATAGCGGGCAGCCTGGTCCAGGAGGGTTAATGACACCAAATGGCTTAGTTGGTATGAAAACTGGAGACAGCTTTGCAGTCACGCAGAGCTTCAGTAGCGCCATGTCATAGAACCATAGATGTGGGAATGACATGATGAGAATTGTTGACTTACCTTGGAATTGATATTAATACAAGGGGAGAAAAAAAACATTGTCTAGCATGTGAAGTTTTTTTTTTTTTTCTTTAAGCAGATAACTGCAGTGAATCTGCATGTGTTCTGGTGGGTTAATAGTGATATATTTCTACTGTCCATCTAGCCCTCCTTTGCATAATTATATTCCCCCCTCCCAAATGAGGAGAGAAAACCTATGAAATCTATCACGATGTCACCTACTAGTATGAAACAGAAATCTAGATAAGAGTGGCTGGAAGGAACTGCAGCTGTGGCAGATTTGTCTTTTGGGTGCAACCACACTAAAATAGGGTGAGAGAAGAAAAGCAAAGGAAAAGAAAACAAAAATGATCTTGGAATACATCAAAGATACAGCAGAGAAACACAGAATAGAAAGAAATACTTTAAAAAAAATTAAGATCAAATGCCAAGCCTAGTTTTTACCACAAAGCACCAAGCTGATTTTTCATAAAATAAAAGAAGTCCCTGAATTGAGAAATATGTGTGTCTCTTAGATTGGATTGTGCAGTGAACAGTATCAAGAACTAAGCAATAATAAATCATCAGGCTGTATGTCAGAGTGAGCGCTACAAGATAAACCCCTGTTGGAATTGTCATGAAGGTGACCTTATGAGCAGCTACAGAAATACTAAAAAATAAAATAATAAAATGTTTCGATGTTCTCTTTAAAACTCCAAGGTAAATCTATTCATGCTTTGTCTTTCGCTATATTTGCTATTTTAATTTGCTGTTTATTAAATGAAATATTGCTCTATCTGGGGAACGCTGCATGATAAAATTATTGAAGATGCTGCTGGTGCAAAGCTATTTGTAGCAAATGAAATCCTGCTGTGTGCAATTCAGAACATCATATTGAACAGTCCAGATAGGAGCATCTGTGGATAGCTCTTAAGACTTGAGACTTGCCTTAGTTAGCTTGTTTGTTTTTATCCTGTGTTATTGATCTGGACTTCATCATATGTGTGGGGAATGGCTTTTCAGATGCTGGAAACATATTTGGAGGCAGGTCAAGTGGATTGAATAGAGGCGTAAAATCTGCTGATTCCTAGAAGATGTCAACACATGACAGAAAGAGTCTGGAGAGTGGGAGACCTCTTAAACTGGTATTGACATTGCCCAGAAATTTGCAGCATAAAAGGGGGAAGAGTGTTCTGTCTCATAAACAAAGCTTGCACTATCAGCAATGCCTTTGTGAGCTTTGACAAATAACATGCTATCCTTGCATGTGCTCTGAAAGGTGCAGTCAGTGTTAGTTTTTGAACACTGCAGTTAAGGCTAGAGGATAAATAATGCTACAAGTACAGAATGTTTTACTCATTGCATATGTCAAAACTGTAAAAAAAAAAAAAAAACAACTCCCCATGCTGCTAGGATAAAACATCATCCAGATTGATTCAATACCCTCTGGACTATGCTGAAAAAGAAATGTTAAAAAAAGGAGTATTTTGGCTACAGAGATGAACCAGGAATACTGAGCAATACCCTATTCTCTGCTACAGGCCGTGGGTGTGACCTTGGGCAAATCATTTATCTCCCTCTACCTCAGTCACTCATCTATGATAAAACAGAAGCAGTAGTTACTTCTCCGGTAGGGGTTTGGATGCATACGATAAATGGACAAACCTGGGTAGCAGAGTTACCACGGGACACACCGAAGAGGATGTTTCAGATGCCGAAGTGGTTTGCATTCACTTAGGAGAGCCTGGTTCTGTGCAGACCAAATCTGGGTATTTCTGCACTTGTGCCATCCTGGATCTATAAACTGGATAAGCTCTGTATGGTTTAATTGATCATTGACTGCAGTATTTTAGCATCTCCAGGGTTGCTTAGAGGCTTGATTAATATTTAAAAAGCTCTTTGAGATCCTGGGATGGAAAGCTTTTATTGAAATAGAAAGAACTTATTGCTACCACTGCTCGAAGATATTGTTTCCCAGGTTTGTTTTGATAGTCTGCAACTAGAATGTCTTATCAGTAGTCTTGCATTATTGTAGGAGAGACTACAGTCTAAACCCTTGTAGTGTGATTTTTTTCATTCTTATATTCAATAAAAAATGGTTACATGTCAAAAATACAATCAGGACAACACAAACTTTGTAGTTGTAATATAGATGCTGCTAAGAATGCTCTTGCACAAAGGGGTAGTTAGTATATACAGGCAGGATCCCGAGTGAAGTCTATGCGACTGCAATCCATAGTGCGCCACATCCGAGGTAACATCATTGCATTGTCAAAGACTGTTGATTCAACACCTCCCATGGATTCCTCTGTTCACCTATCCAAAATGCCTTATTAAGTAGCTATCATGAAGTAGGTTGCATGAATCCTACTGTATGCATTTTCAGGGGATTCAAAAGATAAGTCAGGTGTCTGGCAGGAACCGAGGAATTCTAAGTATTTGTCACATCCTGTGCATTTCTTCTAAGAATGAAGTATTCTCGCAGCATTTGAATACATGACTTAAATAGTGGATTTGTTGGTATGAATCAATGCAACTGAGACTTAGCAGACTTTGCAAATATACTTAATATATTATGAGATTTTCCATTTGAACAGTAAATGACTGACAATTCTTTGCAAGTGAAATGCTCTTTTCTTCAGCCCAGTTGCAGAGTAGACGGGACTTCTGCAGGACTTCTCCCCCAGTAATGACACTGGTCTCACTGCTAATAAATAATGTCAGGGATTTTATTTTTTTCCTGTCTCCTAAACCACAAAAGAGGAGTGTGCATATTTGAGCTCAGTAAGATGAGTTCTCAGGAGCAATTCACTTTGCACTAGACCCACAGAAAATGATTAGAGCAGCACAGTTATCCATTGAGCCAGCTGTCTGTTACTCTTTACTTCTTTTTTGTCTTACTTTTTTTTTTTCTTTTTCTTTTTTTTTCTTTTTTCCCTGTAGTGGTAACTAAATGGAATCAAGCTACTAATTGATTTAGATTATTGCAGCTAATTGCTGAGACCTTGGGTGCAGAGACTACCTAAGTGACGTGCTAAGAAGCTTCCTACAACATAAGGGTACACAAGAAAACAGTTCTGAAAAGGTACACACAAAACCAGTTCTAGAGTCTTCTGCAAAAATACCATTTCTCCCTGGCTTGTACACCCATATTCCCTCCCCATGGAGACTACGATGTGCATAAGGTGAGGGAACAGCATTTCCCATCTGTTTTGTATCCTGTTCTGGAGTCAGGAGGTGGAGGAAGCATTGAGTTGGACTGAGGATCTGTGAAGCACTCCCAGGTCCTGCAATTATATCACAGCCAGATATCTACAAGTGATAATGCAATCCATTTTTTGGATAGTTGAGCTGGAATTATTCCTGAACTCAGAAGTTCCAAAGTGAAAGCACGTTTTCCAAATTAAGGAAGGCAGAAGTGTGCAAAAGTCCCTTCAAGGCAAGGAAAGACCATAAATGTATTTCATAACAAATCTGCATAGTCAATTTTTTGTTGCTGGGAGGTGTTATCATAAAGAAATTTTGTGTGTGCAGTGGAATCTTGTATGTTTGTCCATTTCTCTTGGCTGCAGACCCCCCCCCCCCCCCCCCCCCCCCGGCTGACTAGGAGCAACTGTGCTTCCCCAGCAGCATGAACTGCAGGGGCCCTGCAGTGGTTTCAGTCCACCTCCCAGCCCCATTCTGTCTTTCCTGGCAGGTTTCTGTTGATCTCTATCAGAGAGGTCTGTTAAAGACCTCTGCTGAGGGAAACTCACAGCCTGCCCTAAGCAATGCTGCCCTATTTTAATGCTGCACTGCCTGTACTGCTGGTGTGCTTTTTCTAGGTCTAACTTGACTATTTCTTGCTGCATTAGCTGAGTATGTTTTGTTCTATTGTCAAGGACATGAGACATATATTATTCCTTTCCTTTCTGAACCATGTTTTTACACAGGAATGTCTTTTAAGTACTTTCAACCCCTCTCAGCTATCTCTTCTTTAGTATCAAAA